AAGAAAAGCAAACGGATCTTACGGCGCAGATCCACGAAGCAAGTCCCGAAAAGGACCCACCGGATCCACCTCCAAAGATGCAAAAGAAACCGGACGAGAAGACCCTGGAGCCAGAGGTCTTGCCCACACCGCCGGAGGCCCGAAGTCAGCCCGATTCCGAGAACAGGCTTCATTCGCCGAAGATCGGAGACCGCATCATGGTGCTGAAAGAAGCATGGCTGGCACTCGTACTTCAGAAAATCAAGACCATGGAGGTCCGAGGTGCGCCAGCAGAGCCAGGTCCTATTTGGCTGGCTTGCGACGGGTCGATCTATGGATCCGCCAAGATCACGTCCTGCACTCCGCTATCTGCGGAAGAATTCCAAACCGCCCGGCATCAACACCGTCACTTGGGAGATGAGCTGCCGTTCGCCAATACGTTTGGACTCTGCTTGGACGACATCCAACAGCTGCCGAACCCCATGAAGCACTACCGGCCGCCGACACAAGCGCCTTGGGCAACGTTCAAATCCGGTCCAGCCGACAAGCTTCCCCGCGGCAGAGTCCGGAAGCGCAAGTCAATAGATGAGGGCCGTTCCACCCCTCCGAGATTTGCCCAACAAGACCTCCCACCCGAAGAATGAACCAAATTCCGGCGCAAGACAGCGCCGAAAGCAAAAGGACCCTGAGACACCCCCGACTCGTGCCGCACACTGGAGAAAACAGTACATGCACATGCCAATTGGAATTCGAAGTTCCGGCAGGCAGCAGAGGCAAAAACAGTTTCTTGTTCCCTGTCTGCTGCAGCCATCGGAGCTCAAGCTTCCTAGAAGTTACAAGGTCCCGCGCGCCACTTCGGAAATTGGCCGGGTGCCAAATTGTCATCGAGCCTGTGTTGGAGACAACAAGCCCACAATGCCACCGAGGACACAATGCCAGCAAAATCATCGAGAGTGTGAAGAACCCGGTCACATGGCACATGAAAGAGCTGAACGACGGCACGCCGGTACGGAAGGTCTGGTCCCAGCTACGCTGGGGCTCCTGGACCGACGATAAACAAGCCAAGTGGGAAGGATTCGTGGGATTCGTGGCCGAGACAAAGCGCGACGCACAGTTGTCCAGCGTGCGAATCCCAAATCTACGCCGCAGCCTCGCCGCAGCAATCAAAGCGTATCTGGTGGCATTGCTCCGATTCGGCACCACTTTAGCGCCAACAACCGTGGTAAAAGTCGAACTGCAGGGCGAGAAAATCACCGTGACGGTCTCTCAAGGATGTTTCGAAGCAAAGAAAGGCCCGATGAAACGCAGGAAACATGCAATCAAGTCCGAGAAGTGAGAACGAATCCAAAGTGACCTCACGACCACCACCGCTCCTGGGCTGGGTGGTTCAGCCGTCCGTGCATCAAGCACTTTCTCGTAAGTGGACCTGCCAACCAAGGCTCTGTTGACAAGCAACAGATGCTCTCAATCGGAGAGAACCCAGAGCAGCTCCCTCTCCGATACAGAAAAAACGACACTCCACGTATCTGCCAGTTGCCGTCTTTGCCAGAGTGCCTCTCTCTCCCTCCCTCCCTCTCTCCCTCTCTCCCTCTCTCCCTCTCTCCCTCTCTCCCTCTCTCCCGCTCTCCCTCTCTCCCTCCCTCTCTCGCTCTCTCTCTCTCTCTCTCGCTCCCTCTCTCCCTCGCTCTCTCCCGCACGAGCTCCAACCGCTGGCCCGGCTCAAGCAACCCGCGAAGATTGAAACATCGCACCCAGCATGCACAGAGGCACCTTCAGACCACCTGCGAATCAGCCAAACCAATGCGGCATTCCGCGCTGCAGGTGAAGCAAGACTCAGCTGGGCAGACATCGCGGACAGCAGCGACGAAGAAGAGGACGGAGAAACCGAGCAGCTCACGCACTGCACAGACGGAGACGCAAGAACAGAAACCGTCCGCCCTTGAAGGACCAATCTCACCCGGCTGGTCCTGCGATCTGGAGGCACGGGCACCAATCTTGCAGCCTGTCTCGGAACTGTTCCATGTCCTTGCACCAGTGTCCGCGACGGCCGGCCATCGACGGAGGAACGCGAACCACAGGTACGGCGTGCAACGCTGGAACTTTCAGTAAAGTTACGGTCGTGCTGGCATATCCTCGAAATGGACGTTATACACTGACAAAACCGCGCTGAAGGACGACAAAGCGCCAGCGGCAACCGCAGCTCTGGCTCAAGAGCACCACGTGGGCCACGCGGCTCCAAGAGGCCTTCCCGAAGTCTATAACTAGTGTTACGGCGTGCGAGCACCAGCCGGACACTGCCAGGAAACGAAGAAAGCCAAGGACCCCTCTCCACGAGACCATCGACAAGCAAACAGGCGCCAGACCTGACCCTGGTTACATTGCCCATGATAGCATCTCGAAGCGCAGGAGCCATGCCGAACCGGAGAGCCAGAAAACGCGACTGCCAGACTGCTCACAGAGATCGCAGCCTTTCTTGGCACATGCTTCAATTTTCAAGTCCAGGAAAGGCTTCAACACAAAGTTCTGCTCGAACTCCTGCATTGCTGGCAGAAAAGCTTGCGACCAAGATGCCATCGTTTGAACATTCCATCGTCCCCCATGCACGATTACATATTCAGCATCAACCTAGCCCTGCACTTGGAAGTAATGAACTTCGTTCATTCCGTCCTTCGCAGCTTGTACAAAGGCAGAGTTCCCACGAACACAGCAAGCCGACAGCAAAGGCGGCTTCGACGCAAGTGCAAGTCATTTCCGTTTTGGGTTCCAGCATGGGGAGTTCTCGTTTACAACCTGCACCTGCGATAAAGCTGCGGTGGATCAGAAGGCATCCTGGGCCAAAGAATGTTTCACCACCGTGCAAAACCGAAAAAAGGGGGTCGTGCCGAGGCTGCGCAGCTTGTCGAACATGAAACGCTCCGTGCACTGACAGAACGGATCAACAGAATCGCCAAACCAAATCACCAAGATCCGGAACGATTGAAATGATGGCCAGCACAAACTCGAAGGCCGGGCCGTGTATGGCCACCACTGGCGGAGGCGAAGAGATTAGAACAACTGCACCAGACTATGACCGAAGCAGAGACTGGCGACAGCACGCAAACAAGCGAGTAGCCGCGAGACGAGAAAAAGCATGCAGCGTGGCAGCCACCTTGCCACTAGCCGCTGCGCAAAGACAAAGCCAATCGCCGCAATGTCCCTTTCGCCGATCCTTACGTGCCGTAGAACATTCAATCGCAAGCATCGCGCTGTAGCACTGTAGCAGTTGTAGCAGTGCGGGCAGCCGCGCCATGGCTACACAGAGCTGCTACCGCACCGACACCGCGCAGACGAATGCCGGACAGCGTCTCGCCCGACAGAATGCCAAGTCGGCCGGCAGCACCGACTACAAACGCTCGCCAGGCCATGCTCAAGTCCTTCACGAGTGCACTCAGACCAAAAGCCGGGACACCAGCAAGACCACGCCCAACAAGCCGAAACTACCGGCTGTCATGTGGAGCTTGATCTTGGACTTCGCAGGGACCAAGCACCGGCTCATCATCAGACACGACGACAAAGATGATCCCGAAGCATTGCTTCAAACGCAACTCTTGACGCGAGCGCTGCAAGAAGCTGGCCTCATACGTCGTTGGAGAGTTACAGTGCAATGTCAGCTCCGTCGATGCATCCATTGGTTCCAGCTGGAAAGCAGAAGATGGAGTCTGTCATGCACCAACTCGTTGCTAGCCACTCAGAAAGCCATAAGCAACCAGCTTCGTGAGATGACATTGCCCAACGAGAGTAACGCCTTTCCGAACTGGCACGACAAGCAGATCAAGCCCATTCGATCAGAATACCTAGAAATGGAAGCAGAGTTCCAAATCGTGTTGACCGGAGCAGATTTCCACCGCCTGACGTGGAGATGGATCGCCCAGAGGGCCATTCCAAGCGTTACCCCTTCTCTCGGAATAATCTTTTCGCCAACACCACGTCTGTGCCTTCGATCACGCGAAAATGCCATTCCGAGACATAGACTATGAGTTCCACAAACAGCAGTCCAATGGGCGAAAGGAAACACAGGAAAAAAGCAGCAGATCACGTGAGGGTTGGTGGGAGGGTTGCGGCAATAGCAGCACCTTTCATGCAACGACGGTGGACCGTGCAGCGCATAGATGAACGTGCATTCAACTACTGCAGCAAGCCGCGCATGGCTCAACATATGAGGCCTGAAGTCACCCGTCATCCGGCAGCGACAGGCAACGGCCATGGCTTCCCCCAAGGCAAAGCGCTTGAAGAACGACGGCGACCACGAAAGAAAGAAGCACATCACCCCAAGCTCTTCAGGCAGGATCACCCTGGAAAACCAGGGTTTGGGCAAACGCCTGCCGCCAAAGTTGCTCCGGCTCGACACGAGAGCAACGGAATTTCCGCTTCGACCTGCAGAACTTCCGGCATACCTTCCGGAAGAGTTCATTGCGGATCGATTGCGAGAAGTGAATGGCCATGCTCGGGATCGAGATCTCTCCTTTTGCGCCAAGGAGCACGTTTACTTTTGGAAAGGGCACAGAATCAAAACGTCCGTGACCCAAATGGTTCATTCGTTCACAGAGCCCTTCTGCGAAAATCGAGTGATCCAAGCCATGATGCAAGGATCACGCTGGCCTCGCCCGGGCTACTTGAAACCCTTGTCAACCAACGAGCTCTCCAAGATCCTGCAACACGCCCCCGGCACCGAACCCATCCGAACAGAGCTGGCGAGCGAGAACCTGCAAGACGAAGCCGATGTGTGCGGGCTACTACAAGCGCTGAGGCAAGCTTCAACCGACCGGAATCAAAAGCAACGGCAGGTCCTGGAGGACACGTTGCGGACCGTGTGTATGTCGGAGTCCGAAATCTGCAGCAAATGGGAGACAGCAAGAAACACTGGCGCACGGGAAGGAACTTGGATGCACGCTCAGTTCGAATGCTTGCTAAACGGAGGTTCGGTGCCCTCCCAAACACCCGAAATTGCGCTCTTTCTGCGATTCCTACGCCGCCACCCGGATATGGTCGCATACCGGACGGAATGGCGAGTCTGCGCAGACAGAGAAGACATTGCTGGCAGCATCGACTTCGTCGCAGAGCTCCAGGACGGAAGCAAGGTGTTGGTGGATTGGAAGCGCACACGCAGCATGAGCAAGAAGAGTGAAGCCTTCGGCAAATTCCTACGTCCACCCTTGAATTCCGTGCCCGACTGCGCCCTGTGGCATTACCGCTTGCAGCTGAATGTTTACCGCTACATCGTCCAAGAGTACTACGGCCAAGTCGTGTCTTTCATGTACATAGTAGGCACGCACCCTGACAACGGCGACGAGCCCTGGGTCGAGAACGTACCGGTTCTGCACCACGAAACCCAAGCGATGCTCCTTGCCTGCGCCGCCAAAAAGAAAAAGCCGCCGCCTGTTGAAGATTCAGCATCGCAAAAACGCAGTCCTACAGCATGCCGCGTCGAGCTCGGACCACAGAAGCCAGAGCCGTATTGGAACAAGCGATCAGGCACGCCCGCAAGAAAGACAGTCGAAGCAACCGAGGCATGCCATGGCAAAATCGCTGCAGCACGATCGTGCCGCTGCTGCCTCCCTATCTCGAAAAGGCAGACCTGATACCGCTCCTCCAGATGGATTCGAGAACGAGGGACGGAAGCGCCAAGATCGTTCCCCGCATACGGCGCATCATCCACGAGCTGCGCTTCGCACTGCGACCCCTGGTGGACGGTCGACTGCGCCTTCCCGGCTTGGCCAACCCATACAAACTTCGCGTTCGAGCATCGCGGCCACACGAAAACTTTTGGAAGGACATGGATAGCCATCCCCAAGCTTCCACGATGGGGACGCAAGAAGCCGCCAGAAACTGGTTGGAACAGGCCGGACTCGGCAGCTTGAATCCCGCCGAAGCCGTGCTGGTGATCAACGCCTGGCCGAAAGCAACTCGAGCGGCGGGAATGCTGGTCAGCGACTTCTTGACGGCTTCGCGAGCCCGGTTCTATTACATGCCGTCCGCAGAGATCAACGACGGAGCCCGCCTCATCATCATCTTCCGGATAGAAGGATTCGAAGGATCCATCGAGACGAGCAACCCGCCGAGATCCAATTATGTGATCGGGAGCGCTTGCAACTGCGAGATAACAGATAGCAGAGTCGCTGCGAAAACCGAGGCGAACTTCCAGCGCGCGCCCGCCGGCCCGCATAGCACAGGACGCAGCGCAGAAGCAAAATAGCGATCCCCAGATGCCTCCTACCACCATCTTGCCCAGTCATAGAAATTAACCCGGCTAGCACGACACAAACACAAAGGCAGACGCGCGAGGCCGACACCTGAGCAGGGCGGAAATTTCGCCGACAGTTGGACTTCCGGGACAGAAAAGGAACGGCGGGGCCGCTTGCAACAGTGTTGTGTAAGACAAGTGAATAAAATTGGTTCTACTGCAAATAGCACGATGCCGCAAGCCACAATCAAAAGCAGCCCGAAGCAGAGAAGGCACCCAGGGAAGTAGAGCGAAGACGCCCGTCTGACGGCCATGGATATTCCCACGCCCGAGCCGCGAGATGGCACCGACGCGGTGCAGGAGCTCTTGCCGAAGACGAATGCCGAGCAAGCCCCAGAGGCAGAACAACCTGCCGCAGACATCAACGACGAGGGGACTCAAAATGGACCGCTGCAAGTCACGGAGGCGGACATCTGCAGGCCAGAACGACAAGGAAAGCAAGCGGAAAGGAAGCCCGGCAAAGAGAACTGCAGCAGCCGCGCCAACGCGTCTCCGCCTCAGCCGACACGTTCAAGCTCGGCACCTCCGACACGAGCCACCGAACCTGCCGTGACGCAGCTCGACGGCAGCGAAGAGGTCGCCGACACATCAATGATACCGACCAGACCGAACTCGCATCCTATGAAAGACGACCGAATCATGTCGCTGAGCCAAGCGACCTTGGACAGACTGCTGACAGGAACGCAGAGTACGGTCATGCACGGGCGACGCTCCAAAACCGGCCCCGTTTGGCTAGCAAGCCAAGGGGTCATCCACGGGTACGGCGACATCGCGAGCGCGGAGGAAATGACCCCCGACGAGATCAACGCACAGCGCGTCGAGGGCTGGCACCACGGCAAGGCGCACAAGAAGAGCTATGGGATTCGCATCCACGCGATCAGACGCATAGAACCTCTCGTCCCCTACTTCCGACCACCGCGCCAATCCAAATGGGACAGGTACATCCCCATGCCAAAGAAGAGAAGTCGAAGTCCATCCTCGGAAGGGGCAAGCGGAGCCGACGTGCACAGTGAACGCAAAGATCGCAAAGTCCACGAGAAGGAGCATAAGGACGCAGCCACACAGTCCGAGGACTCCGGCAGGGTCGCGAGCGAAGCAGCACGCTCCCCTTGAAGTATCTGGCGTCTTCACCAGGCGCGAAGTTGAAAGCCCCCGGCAAACTCCACGAGAAGCAGCAAGAATCCATGGCAGCAGAGTCTCTGACAACAACGGTATTCTTTCCGACAGAGACACGGCATGAGAGACCGGAACGTGGGCCTGCCGGTAGAAAAATGCGACAAAAGGTGCATGGTGCGGCATGACACCGACAGGTCACGTCCGGGGCTGCCAGGGCTTCCATTCCACGCCACGCCACGTGAACAGCGTGTCTCGTAGTCAACAACATGACTGTCCGCAGGAGTCAGGCTCGAGAAATCGCAAATTGCCCCGTCCGGCCCTGGCACAGCCACAAGCGACGCATGGTCAAACAGACGCTCAACAGCCAAATGACGACCGCAAGCCTGCGCATCTACACCTTGTCCGGAGAAGAGCTGTCCGAGCTGCCCGAACTACCTGAGCCTGCGACCGCTGGCCAGCTGAAGAAGCAGTTGCAGATCACGCACGGAATGCCGCGATTCCGACAAAGGCTTTTCAACGGCGCCAACCCCCTGGAAGACCAAGATGAGATAGCTCTTCCGGCAGAACTCCATTTCGTGCTGCTGAGCTACATTCCCGCCACGCACGAGAACGTACTCGAACTGATCCACGCCTGCCACCAGGGAAACGAAGTACAAGTTGCAAAGATTTTGCACCGGCCACAAGACGTCAACGCACCCCTGGCATTGCCCAAAGACACCGACGCCCAAGACGACAGCGACGACGAGAGCGAATGTGGAGATCGAGTCGTGACCGCCCTCCAGGCAGCGGCTCGCGAGAACCACGAATGCATCATCGAGCTCTTGCTAGAAGCACGTGCCGACATGCATGCGCCCGGGAACAACATAGCACTCTGGTGGGCAGCAGGGGAAGGCAGTGCACGCGCGGTGCAAGTGCTCCTCCGCGCACGTGCGGAACTAGACAACACAAACGCCCGCGGCGAAACGGCCCTCCTCGAGGCAGCTTGGCAGAACCACGACGATACCGCCGAGATGCTCATCCGAGCCCGTGCCAACCTCGAGTCCCGTGATATCCATGACAGAACACCTCTGATCGCAGCCTGCATCGCAGACAGTCAGGATGTTGCGGTCTCGCTGCTGCGGGCTCGTGCAGATTTGAAGCGATTCATTCGACATGAGGACGCAAGCTCGGAGGCAAAAACAACGGCAATGGCCGCGGCGGCCATGGCAAACCATCTAGACGCCCTGGCAGCCCTGCTCGAAGCCGGCGCAAACATCAATGCCGCCGGTGGCGTAGCCGACGGAACGGCACTTTGGCATGCCGCAAAGGAAGGAAACATAGGAGCCGTTGAGTTGCTCCTGCTCCACAGAGCCGACCCGGACGCAGACGGCGCCGAAGGGGAAGGAGGGAGCGCCCTGTGCGCGGCAACATTTCAAGGAAACAATGCGGTAGTCGCGCGCTTGCTGACGGCTCGAGCAAACCCGAACTTTCGCAGCTTCCTTGCGGAGCCACCTCTGATCCAAGCATGCATGCAAAACAAGCCCGACACCGCACAGCTGCTGCTGCACGCCAAAGCCGAATTAGGGAAACACCTCCTGCGTGCGATGTTCCTGTACGACATCGACCAGGCCACCAAACATCGCTGGGCGCAGAATCTGCTCCTGGGCAAGGCACGACGCCGAAGACGAAAAAGTAAGAAAAGCAGCTGGACCCCAGGTCGTTTCGCAAAGCAAGTGCGACAGAAACCACGGGCCGTGGACACTGCGCGTCCTCACAAGAAACAGCGATCGAGTCGCGACGGCAAACTTCCACCGACCGGCGCAGAGGCAGGCACAGCACGGGCAAGGCCCGCTCGTTCGAGAGAAGTTTCACGCTGAGCCATTCCGACACGGACAGATCGCGGCAAAAGACAAAACATGCTTGGCGCGCACCCGGCAGCCACAGCAGCAACGCAAAGTTCGCAGCTGCGTCCGCAGCGAGGCATGGCTGATAGCATTCCGAGCAAGCAACAGATGCAAACCTTGCAAATGACGCCATGCTGCTTTTCAAGCCGAAACATGTCCATGACGTCACACAATACTGCTACAGTGCAAGCAGCAGCAGCGAAACGGCTAGCCGAGCAGATTCAGCACCCTCAGAGTTTTGTTCCTTCGGCACTCGAAGCCATGGATGGCATCTTCCCCGCCGCAAAGCAAGCCCCGCTACGCAGGCCGGGCAAATTCGCTCGACGAACGCGGCGGAAGGCCTCCGGTCCACAGCAGCTTCGTATCTGCAAGTTGAGCGGGGAAGTCGTAGCTAAAACAAACACACATCGACATAGAACGCCGATGGACCTGCTTACGTACTTAGAGCCCGTTTGCGGCGTTTCCAAGTACAGGATCAGGCTACTTCACGACGGGCAGAGGCTTCGAAAGAATGGCGTTCGGCGCTTCTCTTCCGCGGAGGATTTGCAGGTAGTCCTCCTGCCCTACGTGCGGACCAACAGCAATAGCCAAGTCTCCCGAAACCTCCGAGAAGCTCTCTACGAGCAAGACACGGCAAAATTGAAGAAATTGCTTTGGCGACCGGTTGATCCAAACACAACCTTTCCCCGATACCTCCCGCGTCCTATCACAGCATTGGAGTTTGCGTTGCTGAACCAGGGACCACGCACGAAAACGGTTCTGTTGACGCTGCTAGAAGCCAAAGCAGCTCTTGACCGGCCCGAAAACCAAGGGATGCTCTGCACGGCACTGAAGCACGGAGAAGACGAATGCGTGCGACTGCTGCTAAAGCATCGGGCCGACCCGAACGGTTCCAAGAACCGAATAATGCCCATAGACATAGCATGCCAGCGTCGTCCCGAGCAAGGGTCATTTCAGCGTGAAGCGCCCAAGACAGTAGCCATGTTGCTGTCAGCAAAAGCAGACGTACAGCCCATGCTTCGGGATGCCAACAGCTGGGCCATGCAACCAACCCCAAGGGATTATCTAGATTACATACATCCTCGCACGCTCGCCAGCACCGTATCCTTGGTGCGTGCTGCAGTGATGCACGCAAACCCGACGTTCATGCAGCAACTCGTCCAGACTGCCGAAAACGCGAATGTTTGCATCCTGCCCGCATGCCTCTGCAGCGCAGCCTACGGAGGCAACGAGCACGCCGTACTCTGGCTTCTGAACGCGCAAGCCGCAGTGGACTCGCACATCTGCCACCTCGTGCTGAAGGGAGCTCATCAACTCCTCTTCAGCGTCCATGCTCGCCGCACAGCCCTCGCCCTGGCTGCGGGCAGAGGTCACTGCGGAATAGTCGCAATGCTGCTCCGAGCCAGAGCGGATCCGAATACAAGACTGGACGGACAGACGGCCTTGTTGCAAGCTGCAGCACACGGAGCTCCCGAAACAGTGGTGTGCTCAATCTTGAAAGCTGCCGGAGAAGTAAACCGAGAGGACAGCTTTGGCCGCACCGCTCTCAGACTCGCTTTGCTTTACAGAAAGCCGCCAGATTTGCAGGTCGTTCAGGCGCTGTTGCAAGCCAAAGCCGACAAACAGCACAAAGACCAATTCGGCAGAAGCCCTCTCAGCATTGCAGCTCAGAAACTCGACGGCGCACTCCTGAATCTGATGCAAGACGACGCGATGCAGAAGTGACCACGGGAGGGAAAAAGACCCCACGGAGACCAACAGAATCCGGAGGCGCAATACCGTATGCCGGCATTCCAATCCCCACGCTGAAGATGCTAATCAGTCGTGCTACAGAAACACGGCATGTACAGTGCACCGACACGGTGCGAAGTGCACCCATCTTGCGCGCAGCCTCACGTAAAGAAACGAGAGCCTAATCCTGGCCGGCGGACATGGTGCCGCTTTCACGCTAGAGCACATACAACAAGAGCGCGTGCGACAGGGACCTTGCAGACCCCATAGGCGTAAGCAGCGAGTTCGTGCGCTACACCACAATAGTTACATGCTGGCTGTCCAAGAAGATTGTGGATACCATTCAAGTTGACACATGAGGAACTTCAACTGACAGAGCCGTTTCGGATCACAGGCAGCCCCGTATAGCTGGTCAGACATGCTGTGCGCCCCAGGCTCACAGGAAATTTGCACGCCGCAACACAGAACAGCAAACCACGCGAAACAGCCAACCCCAGATCAGCTACATACTTATCTCTGCGGCTCGCCATGCTTTTGACCTAGGAACCCAGGACAGACCGGGGAGATGACCGAAGCCTGTCACATTCCAGGTCCCGGGCTTGAGCCCGACCCACATAACCGACGATTCCCTTGGCCTGCGCGCCATGTCATGGCCGATGAACGTGGGAAAGACTCGACAGGGAATTGAGCGGCGACATGCGGCTCGATCAAGTTCGGCAAGTACAGCACCAACATGGAGCTGTGCTGGCGCGTTCTCCCTCAGCACATGTCTTGCTGCCGAACGCGCAAGCTGGCAATGCAAGTCCGATGCTTTGCCAACTTAAGATTCGCCGGGCGTGCAGGCTGCTCCAGTCGCTCCAAAGACTTCATCGCACCCAGTCACGGAAGGATGTTCCACTGGCATACGCCGACGAATCCCAATATGAGGATCACTACTTGATCGACGACCTCCCGGACAATGAAGCCTTTGAGCACGATCCTTGTACGTGGAAGCCTTTTCTGACAGCCAGCGCATCATCGTTGATGTGACTCGAATGAAGGCAAGACATTAAGGACATGCAAATCCACGCGAGGCACGGAGACGCCATCGCCAGAAATCCTTTCGTCCCTTGATCGATGCGCATTCCACGCGATTCGACATGCACCCGACGATCCAGCAGCTGCCAGAAACGAGGCCGTCAGCAAACGCGCATGGGAAGGTCAGCTGCTCGTAGTTCGAACTCTACTCCGACTAGCACAGCAAAGTGACAGAACCGCAGCGCGCAGCTTCATCCTCCAGCGCTGCGAAGATGTACTACAGCAACGCCCATGGCTACACCAGGCAGCAGCCAAGAGCAACATGACTGATTACGATTGGCTTCAAGCCTTCCTCCTGGCAGTGCGCACCGTCGAGAGCCGATCAAAGCCTAGCTCGGCCAGACACTAATTCGAAGGTGTAGCATGACTTTGTATATATATCTATATATGTATATGCAAGGTTTCACCGTTGCCTTGCATGCATGCTTCAGGATCCCATCGAAACCAGCGCAAGCCCCGATCGTGGACGCCGCGGCATGCAAGCGCATAAGGGACACAGTGAGCCGGCTGCAGCAACGCCTGCCTACACAGTCTCACCCATCTAGATTTGACAAGAGCGGAATACACGGAATTAATCCATATTTGTGGAAACGACATGAAACGACCAGTACCGTGCAGACGTCGGCTGCCAAGCTTACATAACGAACAAAGCCGGGAGCACCCGACGTTTATCGCAGCTTCCGAGGCTCAAGCAGGCAACTGCGTAAAACAGTCTTCTGAGAAGCAGGCATCCCCCCGCTTCCAATAGCCCCATAGCTGAGCCATCACCGTCTGAACGGGCGCTCCCTGCCCTTCAACATGGAGTGCTGCCGCATCGAATCGAACGTTCGCGACGCAGAGCGCTGGGATCAGCCCCCTCCCTGCCGGTGGTCCTTGGTGCAAGCAGATGCACTACAAGCTTTGAAAATGCAATGCCAAGAGCCCATTTACCTTTCTTGCCCCTTCGGCCCGCACCTCTGGTGGCACTTCAGAACTTGGGTGGTGGATGGCGAGCGCGTGTGGGTCTACTATTCTGGACATTGCTTCCATCTGGCCATTCGCAAGATACGGCCGGACGTGCACGTGTGCTTCGAAATGATCCAGGACGGCCCCTGCAAAAAGCTGTCAGTACGATACGCCTTGTCCGGCGACTTCATCTTGGAGCTCAAAGAACCCAAGCAAAATCGAATCTCTTTGGGCAGTGTGGAAACGGTGCTTCGCTGGCAGCTGGGCCTCACGGAGCAGCAAAACATCGTGTCCCACGAGCAACTTCCTGTGGTCTTCGACACTTCAGATGCCGAGTCGCAGCTGAGCGAGACTTCGCACACAGACATTTTCGAAACGGAGCCCGACCTCTCCGACGCCTGAAAACTCAATGAGCATGTGCAGACCAGGAATCGGAACGACTTGCATGTCTCGTAAGACATCAAGACTCGAGCAAGACCAAGCACCAGAAAAGAACTCATGTGCAGCAGCTCTGCCGGGATGACGCCTCGCAGCTTGCGAGAACCAGCTCGAAATCAGGCCCAGCATGTTCACGCAAATTACCCTTATACTACACCAATGCCGCCACTCAGTTCGCGACAGTAGCGTGTTTGACCATTCCTGAATGTGCATGCTTGATTCCCGCGGCTCTGACTCAGGTGGATGCGAAAATTGCAATCTTCTTAGATCTTCCCCGTACAGTAGTGTTGAACGTGTGGCCTGAGGAGCCAAAATGGCGAAGCGAGGACGCTGCTGTCTCCTTGCTCTTAAGGCCGATGTTGGTGCGCAAGGAACAGAGACTGCCCCGAGCGTTGATGGAGCATCGTCGTCCAATGAGCCTGTGCGACCGGCGTCTCGGCGGTCGTCAACCGATGCTCTGGGTGGAACTTCGGAAGACACGACGTCACTGATGCAGCGACTCAATCTGCACGAAGCTGAGCGCTTGGAACAGGCACATGTGGGAGGTCACTGCATCCATGCTTTGAGTGGTCTTCTTCAACGCCTACATGAAGTTCGTGCTGCTGCTCGGGATGGTGATGATCTTGACTGGCATGTGGGTGTCCTGGTGCATACACTCCGTACAGCTACGACCGCCATGGAGGGCTTGTGTGAAATCCTGGAGTCGCGTGCGGGTGAAGTACAACGCCTACCTCCTGAAACCGAGCGTCAGCGCCTCATCGCGCTGACGGCGGACTTCCTGACGATGACTGTGGAGATGGTGCAGGACACTCTTGCTGTGGGTGTGGAAGCGGCGTGGCTGGATCCTGCTACGCTGCCTTTACGACTCCAAGCTTTGACTGCGGAAGTACCACGACCTGGACGTGCTCGTGATGATCGCTCGCGCAGTCCGGTACCACGCGCTGTCCGTGAAGATGCTTCTGATGACGACTTGCCGATGGAAATCGTTGTGACTGCTGTGGAGTCCAAAGACGCTTCCGACCCGTTGGGTGTTCCGATGGAGGCTGCTGTGAGTGCATCCCCTTCCGTGGTGACTACGTGGCCTACGGAGCACACGACTGGAGATGGTCTGCATGGTGTGTGGACTGCTACGACCACGGTGACTTCTCCAACTGCGACTTTAACAAGTTCTACCAGTTCAGTTGCGACTTCGGCGAGCTCTACAGTTTCAGGGGAGTTTTCTGCTTCACTAAGTTGAGGGCAAAAGGCCAGCGCCGCTTTGGAGAAAGGGTACACATCAACCTAAAAAACACTCTAAAGCTCGAACGCATCATGACGGTGGCCGGTGGCCTCCCCCCCACGCCGCGAGATACCCGCCACAACGAAACGTAACCTCAGCCTTGCGATGTCGACTCCAAAGAAAGAAAACGAGCACTTTGCTTCAAGCAAAGAGGCCAAGAAATGAACCGCCGCGTCGCACAGAGCAATAAGTCTCGCTGGCTCGCTCCCAAAGCTCGATGTCACAGTCGAAGAACAGCACACAAACGACAACGGCCACAAGCTAGGTCAGATGCATGCAGGCATGCCAGGAGTGCTCCGCACAATTGCGATCCACTGCAGCGCCGCATGCTCAAGCCGACTCAGTGCCCAAAGAATCCTCCAGCGATCTCGACCGGACCCATGAGCCGAGCGTACAGGCTTCAGGATCACATCGAGACCAGTGCAAGCCCCGATCGTCGACGAAGTCGATCCAGAAGTCCTCTTCTCCACGGCGGGTCGCCCACATGGCCAGAAATGGACGAACTGCAAGACCAAGTTCGTCATCTCGCTGCCTGCGTACAAGCGCTGAGGGACACAGTGAGCCGGCTACAGCAACAGCAACGCCTGCCTGCACAGTCTCCCCGCACCTAGACCTGCCAGAAGGGAGATATAAGCTCCTCCGAAACCGACCAGCACCGTGCCAACGAGCCAAAGACGTACGACGTGCGGAATTGCTGAGCGCGGTGCATACACAAGCAGCCAGGCTTAACGAGCAAAGCCAGAGACGCCCCCGCGTTCATTGCATTTTGCGAGGCTCACAAGCAGAAAGCTGCGTAGGAGCATCCGCCCCGCTTCCAATAGCCGAGCCGTCGCCTTCGGCACCCACATGGAGTGCTGCCGCATCGAAGCGAAGGACGTTCACGGTGCAGAGAGCTGGGATCGGCCACCTCCCTGTGGGTGGTGCTGGCTGCACACGGATGCGCTGCAATCGTCGAAAATCCAACGCGAAGAACCCATTTACCTATATTCTGAGGTCGGCTCGCACTTCTGCCGCCACCTCAAGACTTGGACGGTGAACGGCGAGCACGTGTGGATCTACGAGTCTGAACATCAAGTTTTCCACGTGGCCATTCGCAAGATACGGCCGGACGTGCACGTGTGCTTCGACATGACCCACGGCGACCTTCGCAAGAAGCTCTCAGTACGATACGCCATGTCCGGCGACTTCATCTTGGAGCTCAGAGAGCCCAAGCAAAATCGGATCTCTCTGGGCAGCGTGGAGACAATGCTTCGCC